CTGGTCTGAAGATGCTGTCCTCTGAAGATGCTGGCCACAGAGACTAGTGAAATGTTAGGAAGAACAACCTTCAGAACACAGCGTAAGAGCCCGAAAAACACACAACAAAAACCCTCTGGGCCTCCTTTGGGGTCACAGTCCTCAACTGCCCTGCCTGTGAAGAATGGGTATTATAGACAGATCTGGCTGGGAACAGGCGTTCTGATAGACACCAAGGTCCTAAACCGTTTAGAGCTTTGAATGTTATCATCAGCCTCAAGGGTAGCCCCACGTAGAGAGCACTGCAGTAGTCTATTCTTGATATTACAAGGGCATGAATCAGCGTCTTGAGTGCCCCCACATCTAGATAGGGACGCAGTTGGGCACAGATGCCACCTGAGTTTCCATGGTGAGATCTGGGTCCAGGCAGATGCCCAAGCTGCGAACCTCACTCTTCATGAGAAGAGTTACTCCCCCAAAGGAGAGGGAGTTTCCCAACCCACTGACTCCATGACCTCCTGGAGAGACCCATTAATTATTATGGTGGCCCATTCTGTTGTTACTGGCTTGGCTGCTTTGATGAGCCAGGCCAAAACAGGGTCTAAAGAAGAAGTGGTGTCACAACAGTGCGCAATCACCCCATCCACCTCATTGGACGTTACAGGTTGAAAGCAAGTTAACCTCGCTGGGCAAGACGATGCACTGGACATCTCAGCTCAATCTACTGTCTGTAAAAAGGGATCCAGGTCCTGACGGATGGCCTCCACTTTAGATTTTCAAAATGCTGCAAATTGGTCACAGGAAATACTAGGGGGAGGCGTATCACTGTGGCCAACTCCGGATAGATCGCGTACTATACGGAAAAGTTCCACCTGCTGGTTGTGAGTTTCGCTTATCTGGTCAGCAAAGAATGCTCTTCTAGCAACCTTTACCCCAGCTAGTTAAAGCTTAGATGCGATCCTGGCAGTTTTAAAATTAATTTTGGCAGGGCCCTTCTCCAAATGCTGTCTAGCCTTCTCCAATTACACTTCATGGCCCTCAGCTGCTGGTTAAACCAGAGGGCTGGTCAGGCTAGGCGGTGGAGAGAGCGTTTAGGTGCGATCATGTCAACTGTCCTGGTGGCAGCGGTATACCAGCCATCCACCATAGCATTGACAGGGGCGCCAACCAAGTCAGCCGGAGTCCCCGCATGGTATCTTGGAATCCAGCAGGATCCAGTAACCTGCAGGGGCAGATCACCTTAATGGGTCCAAGCTCCTCAGGGGAGGGAAGTGCCACTGAGAAGCTGCATTTAATTAGGTGGTGATCCAACCATGACAAGGGGGGGCGATACCAAGTCAGGCCCCATCGGAGCACACTCTCTCTGCTCAGCAGCAAAGACCAGATCCAGCATATGGCCACCCATGCAAGTAGAATCACTGACTTGCTGGGTCAAGTCCAAGGAAGCTTGCCACCGAATGAAGCCACATTTCAAGCTACCCTCGCCCCACCAAAACAAACGCAATTCTGATGTTCAGAAGCGAAAAGAGGTGTCTTGTACAAGTGCATCTTCAGACCTGCTTCCTTCAAAACCAATTAAGCATACAACCAATGTGAATAAAGGGAAAACTTTACATAAGTTGTTGTTTGGTTTTGTTGTTGTTGTTGTGGCTGGGCTGGCCACCTCTGTCAAAATCCTCTCTGTATTTTGGAACTGTCCAAAGTACACACTCCTATATCAAATACCGCACACTGTCTACCTTCTTTCTCTTGGGAAATACTATGATAGCAACTTCCTCCAGGTGACAGTCCACCCTTTTCTTAAACTGAGTGGCCTGCACCACTCTGTGCCGCTGTCTGCAGGCACTTAGAAGCAGGGAGCGCCACCTAACTACAGGTGCTCCTCTCCACTAGAACTTCCAGAAAAATATCAGAACCATGCGAGTGGGGGGGGGGGAACACTGCAGGCCACTTCCTGAAGGCAGACACTTCAACTTTGGGCAGCATTGTCCACATCCTGCCTCTTCCTCAGGAAATGCTGGCATAGAGCTTGATAGGTGGGGGCTGAAAATTACAGAAATAAAAACGTGATTCTAGCATGTTTTGCTTTCCATCAGTTTATTATCTTCTTTAAAATATGTTGTCTTTCTGGAAAACCTGATGCCAAAATATTGCTCTGATCAAAACTCAAGCCAACAAAAGAACAACACAATAGAAGTGTAACAGAAAGGTGAGAAGCTATAATGTTCCAGTGACTATTGCATTTATGCTCTTTTCACCTTAAGAGTGCAGGGACTGATACAAACTTTATCACTAGTTATGTAAATATCACAGCTTAAATGAGTGAGCTTGGGAATATTTGTTCTCTATTCTTCTAAAAATATTTTTAGAAATATGTTACAACCAGACACAGAATCCCTTTGTAAATATGAATCCCTGTTTGGCTAAGAAGGAGTTAAAATGTTCTCCTCCCCCCCCCCCGAAGAGACAGATTATTTTTCTTGACTGACAGGGTCAAATGTTCAGATTGCCCCAGACCTGGAGCTGAATTCTCCTTTGAATACTAATGTCAGGAGCCTGATCTCATGAATCCTGACAGAATGTTTACTAAAAGCAATCAGTGGTAGGACAAACACAACTGCTCTATGCTTTTGTAATGCACAAATATTTTGAATGGTCCTTATAAAATTGTACAGTATGCTAATTCTCTGGAGATAAAAGGCAATATTTTTAAGAAATTGTAATGTGAAAATCCTTTACGCAAACTTTCCCAAATTTGGTTGTTGTAGGTTTTTCAGGCTCTTTGGCAGTGTTCTGAAGGTTGTTCTTCCTCCTAATGTTTTGCCAGTCTCTGTGGCCGGCATCTTCAGAGGAAAAACCCACAACAACCATTAGATCCCAGCCGTGAAAGCCTTCACAAATACATTTCCCAAATTTGGTACACAGAAAGAACAGGCTGTTTGCTACACTGATGCCAATTTGGTACTGATCTGAAGTCTAGTTTCAAAGTTATATTTTTTTTTGTTTAGTTTGCATCCATTTTTAGAATTGCCTTGTAGAACGCTGAGTTGTTCTCCTGCACAATAACACACCTGCACCATCAACTCAGTAGTAATAACCAACAGAGGTCTGGATCACTGATATTCAAAAACAGAAGATTCTCATATGAGAATCTTCTCATTTTGAGAATACATTTTGAGAATACATTTTGCATATGTGTAAAGTGACAATTATACCACTGCTCTATCAGATGACTAAAAAGGTTTTTTTTTAAAAAAAATCATACCTGGTGAAGAGTATAAGCAGCTTGTTTTGTTTTCTTACTCAAAAGAGCAGCTGCCTTTCCTGTAGGTGCAGTAAATAAGACATTTATAGAGTCGTTTCTATTCAGATTAGATGAATGGCGGAAAGTATTCCATTCTTCAGATGCATCCAGGTCAGCTTCAAAATCATTGCAAGCATTTGCAACTTCTTCTTTTTCTGTCTGCATTAGGTAATGGAAGAGGCTGCTAATCACTGTTGTTTTTCCACAACCACCTTTGCCACTTATGATTGTCACTGGATTAGAACAGACCAATTGTACAGCACTCTCTTGATCAGGATCTGCCTCTGCTTTACATGTTGATTCTTCCCTTTCAGTTTCCTCCTCAGAATCCAAATCACTGCTACAGTTTTCGTTCCAAGTATTGCTGGATTCCTTCTGATCCATTTCACAGAACAACACCTCATCATTTATTTTACTCTCAACCTCCGAGTCCCTTGTCTTGTTAATAGATGAACCACCATTAAAAATCTTTTTCACATCAACGTGCAAATGCCATGGAGGATTCTCTGTGAGGTGACACACAACATCTGCAATCTGCTTTTCAAATTTGTACAAAATGGCAGGGAACACACGCTCTTTCTCCATTATCACTATCTCCTCATCTTTCATAAACCTAAGTGCTTTCCAGGCCTGGTCTACAGACATCTTCTTTGATACCATGCGTGTCAACTCATCTTGTTCTTCATATGTATGTCCATCATTTCTACAACTCTGTTTCAGTTTCTCATATACTATTAATGCATTCTTCTGCAACTCAGGAATTTTCTGAAAGAGGTGTTTGCACTCACATAAATTCTTCAAAGGTGCCTCAGCAAGGTAGACGCCAAATTCTCTGTACATGATCTTTTAGAGAAAGCAAAAATCTGTTGCTTTGGCAGTATTTATCAAGAGGTTATAAAAAACTAAAGAGCAGGCAACTAGCCTTTACCTAAGCAGCATTAGTGATCTACTTCTGAAATGAAGCAAACACATCAAAACACTAAAAAGAACTTCAGAAATCCTATTAAACAATCTATTCATTGGTTCCCAACCTTGGGGAACCCAGGTGTTCTTGGACTGCAACACCCAGAAACCTTCAGGTATGCTGGCTGGAGTTTCTGGGAGTTGCAGTCCAAAAACACCTGGGTTATCCAAGACCAGGAACCACTGCATTAGAGCAGTGGTCCCCAACCTTGGGCTTCCAGATGTTCTTGGACTTCAACTCCCAGAAATCCTGGCCAGAAGAGGTGGTGGTGAAGGCTTCTGGGAGTTGTCGTTCAAGAACATCTGGAGGCCTATGGTTGGGGACCACTGCATTAGAGCATTAAGACAGCAGTCATACATCTTCACTTGTATTGACTGCAGTTGAGCATAGGAATACAGCTGAATTCACCCAAGATTTCTCATAAAGGAATTAAACAGGTTAAAAACCAAAATGACTCAGTATACTTTCAGCACAGTATTGAGTACTGATATCAAGATATGGGTACTGTGCTTCCACTACAACAATGTCAGAGATTATCTTAGTTTTGTGTTGGAGCAGAAACAACAGTGATCAATGATAAAACCGACTGAGTAAAAAATGAACTTCTACATTGAGCAATAGGTTTATTGGATCACTGCAATACTACAAACATGATAATTTTTTTTAGTTTGCCAGAATTTTTCAGGTTTAGAGAGAAAAAACTCCATGGAGTGAATATTTAAAAGTCCAGAAATCTGGCTAGGTGGAATGGTCACTGTTTTTGAAGGCACACTGATTTGCATGATGGAGAGTGCAGACTCAGTGAAACACTGCCCTCTGGGCAGACTAAAGTCTGGAAACATACCCTTTGTACTGGCTTAAAAGTATAAACATGGGAGAAACATAATGGCTAAAGACTAAATTTGCATCCACTGTTTTTTCTATTGAAATTCCATTGCTGAAATCCTGTTGCAGTAACTTACACTGCATAAGGCAATGACATCAGCACTAGCAGCAATTTTTTGGAAACTGAAACTTTCCAACTCTGTCTAGAGGCTCCCATGTAATTCCTTTCATCATCAGGATTCCTGTGGAAATTGTAGGATGATAAGGGAAGTCTTGAATTACCAAAAACCACCACTATTGGGATAACTTTACTAGTGGTGGCTATTTTCAGTGATTAAAGACATCCCTCTCCCATCCTGCAAGTTCCATAACTTCCTGTCAATGAAAGGGATTACAAGGGAGTTTGGGGACAGAAGTTGGAAATGTTTAATTACCAAAAAAATTACCACTATCAATGACATCATCAGTCTTATTCAATGTAAGTTATGACAACAGGATTACAGCCAGTGCTTTATTAATTTATCAGACACCAAAAAAGTTAGCCTCTTCCTATGAATGAAGAATCTATGTAATGAGATAAAATACTGTTTCTTCTCTACAGTACAGCAGCATTTGTTAATTCTATTTTTTTTAAAGTACAAGAATTTTTAAAAAATTATACAAGGACTGTGATCAGAAATATGTAAAATAGAACATATTTTGTATCTTTATACTTCTCAGTTCTGCATTCAATTAAGACACGAACCACTGAAACATATCTATTTTCTTACTGGGTTAAATCCAAGTTTCCATGGCTCTTCCTTTAAGATTTTATCCAATCTTGTCAATCTGTCACCTTCACATTTGACTGTGTTGTACTCAAACCATTCAATGCAAGCAAAAACATTGCGTGGCAGAAGTTTTGGCAAGAATTCCAATATAATAGGATAGGACAACGCTGCCAGCACAGCTTTCCCTGCATCTACAAGAACAAAAATCTATTTATAGAACAGAGATAATTACGCCAGCTACATTTTTAACAAATAAGAGCTAGATAGAAAAATCAATTCCTACCACCCATAAGCTATTCCAATTTACATTAAGCAGTGGCTTGAAACTGAATTTTAGTGTTTTTATGATTATTGAAAGCCAACAAATAACCCATTTGTTGAATGACACAGAAATACTTTTTGTTAGTATATAATTGAATGAGAAATACATTCTAGTGAAACCCCAAAGCCATCCACTTTTATTCATCCGTTTCTTACTTTGTGGTAGTTTGCAAAGATTTAAGACTGAGAAAGCAGAAATATTCCCATCTGCTTCTCTCTGTGAAAAAGGAAGGCCATTTTCTCCTTTGGTTCCTGGCTTCTAGTGCCATGTTATGTGGGAACTGCTTGCCTGCACATTCCATTCTTGTACTGCCTGGTCCTTTCATCGTTAATTAATCATACTTTCCCATTACATTTCAAAGTGGAATATCATGGTTTGGAGCAAACAAGAATCTGAAACCAAATTCAAGCCATGTTCCCAGATACCAGTTTGCTTTAAATTCTGCAAACACTGCTCCAAAAATATAGCTTAGGAAGCTATGGTTATTTATGACCAGTCAATTTACCCCTACAGGATTGGGGACCACTTCAAATGGTCCACTCCCAGGGACAACTACAATCTGAGTCATTCCTGAAAGCTTTAGGGGAATTTCTGGTGAACAGACATGACCATCCTGTCAAGGCCTAGTTTCACAAAGGAACAGTGTGGTAAAAATGGTTTATCCCAGACCCCCATCAAAAGCTATGGTGCCATTCAATACCCAGGATCTACAGAAATGTGAAGAATGAAACAAGCTGGATTATGCCTAAACGCAAATGGAAGGTTTTTAGTACTACTTATGGTTTCCATCTTTCTGTTTTCGATTTCTCAGAGTAGCACTGTTTTTTTTACTGTATACTTATTTTTCTTAGCTTTAATGTAGACTTTTAATGATGTAAGATGCTTCTTTATCCTTTGTTCTTGACTTCAAATATTGTCTTGTAAAGATGTTAACCACCATTGTATACTCACTGTTTTCAACTTTAAATATTTTCTTTCACTTGGGTCCTTTTATTAGTCAGTAAAATATTTTAAATAATAAAATTAATTATAACAGCTCTCTTCAAAACTCCTCTGTTCTCTGAAAATTTTTCCTGTTATTCCTGAATAAAGCATCCCTGAGATATTCCCTCTGGTTTATCTACTCCTGCCTTGAAGCTGTACCTGCTACAATTACCAAGTCAGATCTGGAACATCATAACTTCATTGTTTAGAACTATCTTCTCTTAAATCTAAGGTTATTTCTCTGAGGGCCTTCTCAGTAACAGCCAATTTGTGGCTTCTGACTCAACATATACTCTTGGAGAGACAAGAGGGCCTTCTTAAATGAACAGTGCAAAGAAATAGAGGAAAATAATAGAAAGGGTAAAACCAGAGTTCTGTTCAAGAAAATTGGAGATATCAAAGGAACATTTTGCCCAAAGATGGACATGATAAAGGACAAAAATGGTAGGGACCTGACAGAAGCAGAAGACATCAAGAAGAGGTGGCAAAAGTACACAGAGGAATTATATCAGAAAGATCTGGATGTCCTGGACAACCCAGATAGTGTGGTTGCTGACCTGGAATGAGACATCCTGGGGAGTGAAGTCAAGTGGGCCTTAGAAAGCCTGGCTAACAATAAGGCCAGTAGAGGTGATGGCATACCAGTCAAACTATTCAAAATCTTAAAGGATGACACTGTTAAGGTGCTACACTCAATATGCCAGCAAGTTTGGAAAACTCAGCAGTGGCCAGAGGATTGGAAAAGATCAGTCTACATCCCAATCCCAAAGAAGGGCAGTGCCAAAGAATGCTCCAACTACCGCACAATTGCACTCTCATTTCACACGCTAGCAAGGTTATGCTCAAAATCCCCCAGGTTGGTTTCAGAAGTATGTGGATCAAGAATTCCCAGAAGTACAAGCTGGATTCCGAAGAGGCAGAGGCACTCGAGACCAAATTGCTAACTTGCGCTGGATTATGGAGAAAGCCAGAGAGTTCCAGAAAAACATCTACTTCTGCTTCATTGACTATGCAAAAGCCTTTGACTGTGTGGACCACAACAAACTATGGCAAGTTCTTAAAGAAATGGGAGTGCCTGACCTCCTTATCTATTTCCTGAGAAATCTATATGTAGGACAGGAAGCAACAGTTAGAACTGGATATGGAACAACTGATT